GGAGCACAGACTAACTGACTACAGCAACAGCTTTAGTATTTGTCACACTCCAATGTTTTCCTATTGGTAAGAGAAATCTGTATTTGCTATAATCTACTAAACAAAAACCCAGAAAGCATAAACTTTTAAAATTCTGAGAGGAGTACAAGGCTTTTGTATTTGCTATAACTACCCCACATGGCATCTTTTTTGTCCTTTGTACTAATAATTGTATTTTTTATTCATTCAATTACAAGGAAATTGACACGAGACATTTATATTAGCGAGCTTAAAGCCCAGCTAATGGAGGAGCCTAATGACTAATTGATCAGATCCCAAGCACAACTACAGTGCAGAGTGGCCTAGAGGAATTTATGCAATTAGTTTGGGTTTGGTAGCAATTGAGTGCATATAAAAGTAAGCTTTTTATAGCCTTGATTTATGAGGCTTGGACATTGAATATATCTGCCAAGGAGGTGAGGAGGCAAGAAGGACCCCAGGCACCATCCAGCCCCAATAACAAGCCTTATTGTTTTAGCCAACTGAAGCTGAAATGGGTGAAGGGGGGAGTATAGAGGTAAGTGTTCAGGCCTGGAGGCAGGAACTTTCAAGTCCAGTGTGCAGAGGATCATATTCACAGGGCTTCATTACAGAGTTCAGGTCTCCTCCAGGCAGAACAACAGGGATAGATCTGGGTGTAAAACAGGAGGGGAGGGTACTGACAAGCCCTTTTCATTAACAGCAAAAAAAGCTGTCTCTCTGGAAACTGGGAGCCCAGGCCAGCTGCCACTTCTCCCCATTTTAGGAGGCAAGGGGCATGATGCTGCTTCTCTTTGAATCCAAGGGGGGGGTTATGTTGTTGTTAATAGAAGCAGGATCAGGCCCAAGCTTATCAAGTAAACTGTTTTATTTTCTTACTGTTTCCACAACTTTCCTAGGCAGGCTCACAAGCTGCTCAGGCATTTTGTGTTAGCATCTTGTGTGTGCATGTCTACACCAACTATTACTTCCACCTTATTTACAGAATCACAGGGTTGGAAGGATCCTGAAGACTCATTTAGTCTGAGGCCCTGCAGTAATGAAGGTTAAACTGGAAAAAAGAAGGGGTGGGGAATGAATCCCTTTAACCTTCTATTACTTGACCTGCTTTTACTTTCCAGTATGCAAAAGGCACCTGCAGGGGCAAAACCTTTGCATTTGGGGGACGATTTGAAGAAAATACCCCTGGAATTGGCCTTATTGCAAGCCAACCCAACTGCCACAATTTTTTTTTGGTCTCTTTTTTTTAAGTCTCATTTTTAAGAAGAACTGAAGGATCCCCATCCCCCAGCCTGACAGGGCCAAAGATTCTTGGTTAAAATCTGGAGTACTTCCAGACAAATAGAAGCCAATAGTCCAGATTTTCACTGGTGAAACCAAGATCAGTTTCTGGCCCTTTACCTACTCATGAAAGAGTTTTCCTGTCTAAGAAAGGGGGAGGTCATAGTTATTATAATTGATAAAAACAGCCCTGAGAGGACCCATAGTTAGGACCTGCTTCTCCACAGGACACAGACTGGCAGAGGATGGAGGGGGAGCAGTGGCATGGGGGTTTGGAGGGAGGGGGGTTGTTTATTGGAAGCTGCTCTGATACTTGCATATAATATAATATATATTATATAATAATATAAATCAAAGAAAGCAAGCAAGCAAAGTCCCACAGCCACCAGTCGCCTCCCACGATGCAGAGGGGGACCCCCCACACACACACATGTGCTTTTATGGTGTCCGAGAGCCCCGGGTTTGGTAGCGCGGAGCTGCGCCCCTGCACACGTGCGCTCTCAACCCCGCGGACACACGGCGGCCGCCCCGGAGCGCTCCAGGCTGGCGCCGGAGCCCGCGCTGGGCTGCCCTGGGCGGCGGGTTGCACGGCGGGGGAATAATAAAGACACGTTATAAGTAGAAGAGGAGAGGCGGAAAAAACTTGGGGGAGGGATCCCTGCCGAAGGGGAGAGGCAAAGGCTGGAAACTTGGAGGAAGTTCCCGCTCCCAGGCGCAGGGACCGGGGAAGCCGGGCTGGGAGGGAGGGAGGCAGGACGAGCCCTAGCCCAGCCGTCCCGGGCGGACCCAGCGTCTCAAATCTTCAGGATCGGGCTGGGTCCCGATCCTGAAGGGAAGAGCCTGCCCTCTTCCTTGCTCCGAGGAAGGTTTCCCACTCCTGGCTGCGTCAGGAGAAACATCAAAAGGATGACACAAACTCAGGGAAGAGGAAAATCGCGAGCTGGAGAATTCCTCGTCCTTTAAATGTCTTTTTTAGTGATTTTTAAGTTTTCTTGGTTTTTTTGTTGCTTGTTTGTTTTTTGCCCCGGTTGGTGTATTTGTCCGAATGAAATAAATTAAATTCACTAGAATAAAAATACAAGAAAGACCGTCCAATTTGCTCCCCCCCGGTCTCTGGGCTCAGTTATAACTGTGGATATTTGTCGTGGTCACACGTAGGTACTCGGATTTAGAAAAGGATTTCTCCACTGGAAACTTCAAAAGCAACTTGGAGGTACACGACGAGTTCTTTGATCTTGACGCCAGTCCTGTATATTAAAAAAAAAAACCCAACAAACCCCAAACCCAAGCCAAGCCAACAATGAAATGCAATAAATGAAGCTGCAAGAAATTCACAGGCTTGAAGAAAATGCGAAAAAATATATCTTACCTGGGGGTTTTTGGGGGGTGGGAATCCTAACCATGCCCTTATAGAGTATCTGCTGAAATCCTAGTGGACAGTTGTGAAAGGCTGCAGCCGGGATTGCTTTCTGCCCTTTTTATACCACGATAGCCAATTAATATTGCATCACCCTTATTTTACATTTTCAAAACCCACAATATAATGTAATGGCATAAGGGCATTTATTATTAAAGGACATTTGATTGGGGGAAAAAATCATTGGGGCTGATCGGAAAAAAATAGATCTAGGAAACGAAGAGGTGCAGCATTCTAGTTTCTTAAGAGTCCTAAACTTGAAAAGATTGATTTTGTAAGGTGCTTCCCCAGCAAGCTGGGGTGGAGGGGAAAGATCCCCGGTTTAAGGTCTGCTGTTGGACACTCATTGAAATGCTACGGTGAAATATTCAGAAGATACTTGGGCGTCCATCATTAATTTTTAATCGTTAAGGTGCTTCTGGGAATCATAAATAAAAAGCCCTCTTTTTTCCCCCCTTTTAAACAGCATTAGAAATGAACCTTTGATGGAGTTGTTCGAGGGAATGTTTTAATGAAATTTTCGAGAGGGGAATTTCGTTTGGACCAATGACGTTTCCGGATAAGAAAGCATCTTTCCCTTCCAAAACTTAACTAAACTTTTGTTTTACAGAGGGAAAACTGGTCCGAGTCCTCCCTGAATGACAATAATCGTTACACTGCTTGGGAACTATTTCAGAAACACGACAAGATTCGCGCACAATGATCTAGAGGAGTGTGAAAATTTACGTCGTCCAGGTGGAAAGAATATATTTCATATATGTATAAATATAAATATAAATATATTTCTGGGACAGAGAAATCATGATCACACTGAAAAACAATATCGAGGCAAATCAATACATGGAAAATACAGCAGAAAAGAGAAAAGCGGATGAAACTTTACAACTCCTCTACACAATCATAGCAATATAATATAATCAGGGTAACTGAAAAGGAAAATATCATCGTCATTCAAGCTGCTAGTCAAAATGTAGAGCAATGAAAACAGCCAAAGCAGCAGTGGAACTGGTAAAGTTGATTCATTATGAATTTTAAACCCCTTTCCACTCTCCAATAGAAAAGCGCGAGCTACAGTTTATCATTAGCATCACATACTTTGCTCGGGCGCTATGAGCCCCCCTTCCCGCTGTGAAAAAAGGCTCCATTCGAGTTGAAAAATAAAGCATTTATTTCAGAAATGAATCCAAGGGGAGGGGCGGGCGGACAACATTTATTTCAGGAGAGATTCCGAGGGCAATAATAAATAATTAAATAAGTAAGAGGAAGAGAAGGCCACACAAGCACTCAAACTATCTGGGATAAAAACTAAAAATCTGAAACGGGCAGGGTGAGAGGGAGAGAAAGCTCATTGCAAATGCTAAATCCAAAAGAGCCCCGGTCAGCTTTGTGTATTACACAAACGGAGATCCGGGCTTACACGAGAGAATTAACTCGGATTGAAACCGAAGGAAAGGATGGGGTGGAGGGACACCGGTGAAAGGCTTGCCCCCAAGTCCATGGAGTCACGGGGTGAGTCGCCTCTGCGCGGGCAGAGCCCGGGGCCCGGCTGCAGACTCGTGGTGCGCTGTACAAGTCCGTGGTAGGAGCTGCAAGACACGGAGCTGTGCTCAAACCCGCGTGGGAACAAGCCCCG